GGAAACCTCCAAGTCCACAAACCATCCGAGCATAATGAGAGTCTCAACTTTAATTCCTGTACCTGAAAAATGTTCCCACAACGTCGGTGTGTAACATAAAGCTACTCGTAGGAGATGAGCATGCATCGACCTAACTTTTTACAATTTTATCACCTTAAGGTGAAACATGTTAAAGGGGCTCATGCCATCTAACGTCTATGTCAAAATGTGACCCAGAAAGCATCCTAAGCTACCTAAGATCATTTCTAGCACAAATCACATAATTCGTACAATTCAAATAACATGGGAGCATGCTATACCAAGTAACAAGATGTAGATTCTCAAGGTCACTAACTTGAAATATAAAATGCTAAAACACTTATAGTGGATCATGCCACCTAAAGTCTATGTTCCAAATGAATCTATAGGGTCATTTCAAAGTCACATTTGAACAACAAAGCACAAATCACAATATCTACGCAATTAACCAACATAGAAGCATGCTACACAAGTATCAAGATATAGATTCTCTAGGTTACCATCTTGAAATCTGAAATGCAATAACAACTAAATATAACAATTTAGTACAATTAGAATTTCAAATACCACACATCAAGACATAGATTCTCTAAATTATCAACTTGAAATCTAAAGTGTGAAAACAACTAAATATAACAATTTAGTATGGATGTACTTAACAACATCAATCGCCAATAGCCAAAACCACAAGTCATAATTAAACATGATTGTCAACTTGGAATTGAATGCGAAATCAAATAGTGGAGCACTTGGACATCACGTCTCGGATTTTCGCCGAGAATTAAATGGTTATTCCGGGCATCAACCCGTTGGGAAGACCACCCTAGAGCATACTATCTCAATTGGGGAGAACTCATACCTCCCGCACTAGAGCCAAACTCTAGCCATGTCACTTGTAACAATGTCCCAACACTCTAAAATAATCAAATAAGTTCACAACTTATTCGTAATTTATATAATGCACAAAAACCACCTTCCATGCACAAATAGGTTGAAACCACACAATCCATGCCTTAGAATTTCAATTCTAAAATATATAATGTCAATTATAAAGTGTGGAATTCATTACACATGGCATCAATATATTCCATAAAGAAAACATGTTCTCATGAATATAAATATAACAACAAAGTTGTCCAATGCTCAAAACACAACAAAGTGAATAGATAACAAGTTCAAGTCCATGATTTGAATATAGAAACTACTTCTAAAATACCAATAGATCCATGGAGCCATTAGATAGAATTTAATTAAACAAGATAATCAAATTCTCTAGATTTCTAATCAAATTCGAATAACCTCAAATTAATACATGTTAAACGATATGCTCATTACATATATCAAATCAAAAGTGTCAAGTGAGCAAGATATCATCATACAGAATTTAATTAATTTAAATTAATCAAATCTCTAGATTTCAAAAGTTATTCAAATAATCCCTAATTAACATATATCAAGCACCAAATCATGGTCATACCATATTTCAAGTCTAAAATGGAATACAAGTAAAATATAATTTACTAGAATTTAAATCAAATTAAATCCATTTAATCTCTAGATTTAAAAATTCATCTAAATCATCCCAAATTAATATATATCAAAGATCAACTCATGGTCATGCCATTTACCAAGTCTAAAATGAGTTATATTCAAGATATGATAAATCATTGATTTCTTAAATTAACAAAAGACATGCATACAACTTATAAAAGCATCAATAGCATGCAAGAAACAAAAATATAACCTTATAACATCCCCTACCTCACTAGAGAAGAGTTTCTCTAGAATCCAAGGCAAATCAACACAAAATGGCAAACCCTTCTAGGGTTATGTAGAGGAGGATGAGGGGAACAAAATGTGTTCCAAGCTTCAAGGTCTAAGGTGAGTGGAAGGCCATCAAAAATCAAGGTCAAGGTCTAAGGTTTCAAGCTCCATCCATGGAGGCTAGGGTTTGTGACAAGAAAGAAAATGACATAAGGTGAAAAATGGGTGAGTGGAGGAAATAGAAATCCTCCCTTCACTATATGTTCTCACACCATGGTCAACACACACAACTATGGTCAATTGTACAAAAACCCCTCCTTAAAACTATAATTCCAAAGTGTCCCATAAGTAATTTGCAAGACTTAATCTCAAGCCTACACTTGTTAACCATCCAAGCCAACAAGTGCACCAATCGTATGCCAACAAGTGGGTGAATCTCCACCCTCCAAATGTCACAAGATGATGCCTCCCAGTCCCTCCACCTCAATGCCAACAAGTGGCTCCATGAGAGTATGACACTTGTCACATTTTTCAAAAATTGCAAAAAGGTCCTTTTTGAAAATATCTTCCAAATTAAATTACAAAATGGTTCCTAAGAAGAAAAATAATTACTTTACGGTAATTACACAAAAATCCTAAAAGTTTAGAATATTACAAAAAGGTTATGCGTCTATACCTTTTTCAAAAAAAGTAAGCACTTAGCATGCTTTTCTACAAAAGTGAAAATAGACATAGTATGGAATTTAAATATCGTGGATGCATACAAAACAGGAATCAAATCCGAACACGAAAAGTGAGATTATGCTAACAAAGTGACAACCGAGAAAAAGATAAAAAGTGAATAGTGTCACAAAAGTGAAAATGTGAAAATGACTCGGTCCTCAAAGGAAGTCATCAATCCAAGGAAAAGAGTCTCGGAAACCATCCCCGAGCACTCAAGATGACATTAAGTGGTGAGAAACCGAACTCAGAAAGGAAAAGATCAACGGAAAAAAAAATATCCGTGAAAATCTGAGAAAAGGAAAGGAATGAAAATGACTGAGTCATTACCGAGCCATGTTTAGGGATAGCCCTTGAGGGCTCCATGACCACATCCACCTCCTCCATGAGTGGCTAGACACCATCTTAGGGCTTGGATGAGCCCTAGGCTCATTCTCTAAACCCTAGCTCTTTGTCTTTTTCGGGAATCTATTATTGTAACGAATGCTATAGCCTTGTGAATTTATGAATCTTGGTTTTTCCATGATTTTATCTATAGTTGAATGCTTCCTATTAATTCTCTAGATTAGTTACATGTTTAAGTGTAATTAGTTGAGGATTACATCTCTACACTAGTTTTTCTATTTTAGTTGCACGTCTATGTGTGGTTGATTGAGAATTTAGTGATGGATATGCACGGATTTCATTAGATACACTTGTTGATTAATATGATGTGTTATGCTTATGCTTGATGGATTGTGCTATATCTTTAGCTTAATTGTCTTAATGTCATTGTCTTAATTTAATTGTAGTATAATTGCATTTTAATTCCTAAATAGGTAGACAATCCATGCTTGAATTTGATAATCCATGCTTATTGATGCAAGTTGTATGATTCTCTAGATTAATGTGTGCTACAATTATGGATTAATTGGATGGTTTATACTTAGACTTGATGGGTTGTGCTACATCCTAGTTTACTTATTGTTAAGTGCACAATTCATGCTTATATTTGATATCCATGTTCATTATTGCAATTGGTAGCACACATTTGGGTTACAACATTACTTTTCCCCAATTAGATGAATGCCAGTGGTTTAGTATACGAGCTTAGCGATGATTTTTATGCCCTAAGACTCCTCTCATATTTTCTAAACTCTACTCTCTTAGCCTTAAATTGTTCTATATTACATGTTTTTAATTCATCATTAGCTTAATCAAACCAAGCCAAAGCATCTTTCAATCTCTTGACCTACTAATCCAAGTTTAATTCCAAGTGTCTTTTGATCTCTTGGGACGATCCCTACACGCTATGCTTCATTAGTAGTAGTAGTAGTAGTGGTTTTATAAATGTAAATTTCACTAAAAAGGCTTCTTAAACCACATTCATAATTTAACCTTATGAAGCGACCTCTCGCAAGAGACTTGTCAAATTTTGGCGCCGTTACTGGGGATCGACGGTGTTAGTTGGAATCAAATTAGGAATTGGTACTCATTTGACTGTTTATCTTTACTTTCTTTTTATTTTTCTCACTTGTTACTTATGCAATTAGGTACTTGGAGTCAAGGAAAACAAGCATTGGAACTTGACATTGTTGCTTAGGACCTTTGTGAGCGTATCTTAAACTCATTTATCTTAATTGTGCATCGGTCTTTGTTGTGGCCCTTTACTTTTATTGTTGAAAGCATAGACTCTTGTCGCAGTCATTAAATTCTTGCATTGATATAATATGGGAGTATGGGAACATTGTATGTGGAGATTATGGTGAATTGTTGTTGATTGTTGTGGAGAAGGAGTTTTTGCTATTGTTGTTTTCTTGTGCATGCATGGTAGAAGATCACTTCACCGTCCTCTTCTTCCTTTGAATTAAAATCTCGAGTCTTCACTCCATCATCCAAGGGTTAGTTCTAATAGAATTTTTTCGACTCTTGACTACTCCATTACATCAATGAAAGATCAAATCGAGGATCTCGGTCATATGGACCAATAAGGCATGTATCATCCTAACAATGTTCGACCTAATAATGTGATACCACCTCATATGCAACAACCACCATTTGTGCAAGTCCCTCTTGGAATGCCAATACCAATTTTTGTGCCACCACCTCCTATAGGTCAAGTTCCTCTCGGAGCTCATGTAGAGCAATAAGTTCCCATTCCTCCAATGGTTCTCAAAGACCATTATGTGTCCAATGAGCATAATGCCCCAACATGCATCTAGCTTCCTAATATTAGGACACATCATTATGAAATTAAACCTTCCACTATTCAAATGTGCCCACTCTTCTTTGGGTTGAGCAATGAGGAACCTTACAAATATTTGAATGAGTTCTTGGAAGTGTGCTCTACCGTGAAAATCCCAAATGTGCCAAAAGAAGTTATAAGGTTGAAGCTTTTCCCTTTCACTCTTCAGGATAAAGCTAAATATTGGTTTAACAACTTGGGGGCTAATATCATAACATATTGTGCTTAAATGCAACAAGAATTTTTAAAGAAGTATTACCCCGCAAGTCGAACCAATTCCATGTGAACTTCCATTTGTGAGTTTTCTCAAGGGGATGGAGAACCCTTACATGAAGCGTGGGAGCATTTGAACAACTTGCTAAGGAAATGTCCACATCATGACGTTCCAAAATGGCAATTAGTTCAATACTTCTTCGAGAGCTTATCCGATACCTACAAGGGTATGGTGGATGCTTTGTGTGAAGGCACTTATTTGGAAAGGCATGAGGATGACATTGGCGCTTATTTGAAAATATGAGTGAAAACTCAATGTGTAATGACCCGGTCATTTTTTTTCCTTTCTTTTTTCCTCAAATTTTACGGATAAATTTTTTCCATTGTCTTTTCTTTTCTAAGTTCAGTTTCTCGTCACTTAGTATTGTCTCGAGTGCTCGGGAAAGGTTTCCGAGACTCTTTCTTGTGAATTGACAACTTCCTTGATAGGACCGCGTCATTTCCACACTTTTGTTTTTCGACACTATTCACTTTTCGTCTTTTTTCCCATTGACCACTTTTTGGCGTAACCTCACTTTTCATGTTTGGAGTTAAGTTTTGACTTCATGAGTTGTCATTCCAGTTGATTTTCTCGAAACGCGTAGCTTTATTTTTGGAGAAAAGCTCGCCGGTTGTTTCCTATTCCCGTAGGGGAGTGAATGAAAGGATTCTTCAAAAACATTCTTATTTCTTGAAGTGTTTTTCAAAAATATTTTTTAAAGATATTTATTTTAGGGGTTTTTAAAAAAACATCTTTTGGAAGATATTTTCATTTTGGGCCAGTTTTACAGTTATCCCTTTTTGTAATGGCTATTGTGCAATTAATAAAAGTTATTGCAAAATGCCTCGTTTTGAGCCTAGATCCTCATACGGGATTCATTTTCATTTTTCGTCGAGTCACGTAGTCTTAGAATTTCCTTCCGGTCGTTTTTCCCAGTTTTAGGGTTTTCGGCCCCGGTTGCCGCCGAACTTGTTCGGGGCATATCTTTCTGCTCAGGACTCAGTTTTTGATACCGTTTCTTCTGTTATTCATTTTTTATTATTTAGTTCTTTTTTGTTCACGGTGTTTTACCATTTGAGCGCGTCTGCACAAATTACACTTTTCCGGACACGGCGGGGCCCGTTCGGGGCACTTTTAGGGTTTTTCTATAAATAGGGGGACTTAAAATGAAAATTCAGATTTTTCTCATCTTCTTTCCCACTTAGCCGGCAGCTATGGAAGCCCCCAAGGGGCTGCAACCCTTCTTTCTTCTTTTTCGGTCATTTCCCTCTTGAAAAATGTCATAATGCGGTAATGCCTTAGTGTTTATCGTAGGCCTTGGTGAGACAATTCTTTCCCTCTTATTAGAAACCATTTTTGACCATTTTTGAGTTCAGGTTTTGAGTTCGAATTTGGATTTTGGTGGTGCCTCTTGAAGGATTGTTGTTCCCCTCGTTGTCCCCATCGTAACCCCGAAGTATCGTCGGATTCGGAGCGGTTCTGTTTTGGTGGGAATTTGAGATTTCATCTCAAATTGAGGTAGGGGATGTTTTAGGATTATATATGTATTATATTGATTATTTTCTAAGCATATACAACTTATAAGCATGCCTTGTTTAAATTCTAGAAATTTAATTTAATTATTTCTTCGTGTAAGATTTAATTCATATGGATGTATATAGCTTAGAATTAAATTGTGGCATGCTATTAAATTAGGTCTTAATATGTTCATTAACATATATTAAATTGGGAGTATTTGAATAAGTATTGCAACTTTTATTTAATTATTTTCTTGAATGAAAATTTAATTCACATGGTTGTAATTAGCATGAAATCAACTTGTAATATGATATTAAAATAGGTATTGGTATGTTCTTTAACCTATGTTAATTTGAGGACATTTGGAGTTGTCTAAAAATCTAGAAAAAATTAATTAATTAGCTTAATTAATTTTATTTTAAGTGTTTTAATCACTTAATTTGATATTTGATGTGATATATGTGAAGACCATGCTATGTCCTTTAACATATATTAAATTGAGACTATTTGGAATTGATTTGAAATTTAGAGAATTTGATTATTTTCATTTAATTAAATTCTATCTACTTGTTCCATTGATTTAATTATGTCTTAGATGTTGTTTCTATGTTTAAATCATGGAATTGGACTTGTTGTATATTCATTTGGTTATATTTTAAGCATTGGGTAATATGATTGTTACATTTATATTCATAAGAATATGTTTCCACTATTGAATATATTGTTGTCTTGTGTATTGAATTACACACTTTGTATTTGACATTTAATATGCCATTGTAGCTTGAATGCCTAGGGCATATCTTGTGTGATTTCCTTGACTTGGATTTGCATGGTATTTTGCTAAGTGCATTAAGTATATATGATATATATTTGTTGCACAATTTGTTGATTTTGGATTCTTGAGACATCGTTTGTTTTGACTTGGCTAAAGTAAGGCTCTAATACGAGAGATGTGAGTTCTTCCTAGGGGGAGGTACCCACGAGCTAGTAACCCAAAAGTGGCCTTTGTATACGGTTCTATTCCGGTTGGTGTCCAAGAATATCCACTTTGTTTGATTTCGCAATTTCGTTTTCAAGTTGATAATTTTGAGTATTTATAACTTGATGTTTTATATTGGAGGTTCCAATTATGTTTAATTATAGCACTTTGGTTAATTTTGCAATCTTGATCCCAAGTTAGTAACTTTGATAAGCTATACTTTGGTGTGCTATATTGGAGATTTCAACTATGTTGCATTGTATCATTTTGTTGGTTTTATGTTTTAAACTTCAAGTTGTTTATAGTTGATTACTTTGAACTTGTGCTTTGGAGCATGATAATTCATTCTTACTTTGTATACTTATGTCTTATATACTTATATGTTGAATATTTCGTTGCGTTGTAGCGTATGCTTCTATGTTATTTAAATTGCATGAATGATGTGGTTTATGTTATAAATGCTCTAGAGTAGCTTAGGATGCTCCTTAAGTCTCACATTTGACATAGACGCTAGGTGGCATAACCGTTTGAATTAAATTATATTAACTTAATAAATTTGTAAAATGTTAGGGCTTTGCATGCTCATCTCCTATGAGTAGCTTTATGTTACTCATCCACGTAGTGGGGACATTTTTGAGGTACAAGATTGAAATTTTGGGGATTTGCATTTGCCTTGGGTGATTTGTAGACTTGAAGTTTGTAATTCATGCAAATGTTAGCATTGAATACTATTTGTAGCTTTATATGTCAAAACTTGTATATTTGATTCTAAATATGTAATGTGTACATTAGTACACCTTTTTTGATGTATTTGACATGTATGAGATGAGGCCATGGGCTAATGACATTTATGTTGTATTCTAAGCACTTTTACTTTCAAGCTTTATTATAGAAAAATAGAAAAATGACACGCATTAGCATCACTACATTTGCATGAGTGGTGGGAAGTGGACCTTAGCACTTCCATAGGGTCTCTTCAATTATGCATGAAGTGTAGCCAAGGGCCAAACGGTCTTTTGAACTCATTTTGCATTTTTAAGTTTTAAATTTTCATTTAAAAGCCATTTTAGGCAAAATTTGGGGTTTAATAGGTGATTGGAACGTGTGTAAATATATATATTACGTTTGCGTGAATGTTTACCTTGTACAAAATATCACATCTGTATGAAATGAATGCTTGTTGGTTTCAAGTTTTCCATTTAAAGCATTTTCTTTGTATTTTGAGGTTCGGATATGTCGTATTTTACATTGGGCATTTTTGGGAGCCGCGGACCATTTCCGCGTGCTTAATAACACTAATTACGTTTGCGTGCACAGTTGGTTTGGCACAAAACACCTCTTAGCATGAAATGCGCTCTTGAGTCCCTTGCATTTTACATTTTCTTCACAATTTGATTTTTGGGACTTTGGGCATTTCATTTGAAAAATAAATTTCGGGCTTGACATGGTTGCCTAGAAAATGTGATTTTAAGGGGGGTTTCTTCTTTGTGTTTTTACAAAAAAAATCGTTTTGATGCCGAAAACAGCTCGCAGATTTGGATTTTCTGTTTTGCGCGCTTTTTCAGGAAAAAAGTCTGATATAATGGGTATTTCAGGTATTTGACTTGAAAAATAAAAACTTCTCTTGACATGGTCATGTAGAAAATATGATTTTTTTTTGGGGTGGGGGGGAGGGGGGGGGGGGGTTTCTTCAGAACTTTTTTTTCCAAAAAATGTCGTTTAAGCCCTCAAAAATCCATTTGAAATCCAAAAATTTGTGCAGGCCCTACATAGATTTGAAACCCGGAAAGTCTAATTTTATGAAACTTTGGAGTTTCATATCTTCTTCGTTCGAACTCCGAATCAAGTGATTTTCTAGTCTAAGTTTATTACATTTTCCTTGTCTATCCAATGGTATGCACGGTTGCATCCAATTCTATCTGAAAAGACCATTTTACCCCTTGTCAAATACCCTTGCCGCACTAATTTAAAACCCAAAAGTCTAATTTTATGAAACTTTGGAGTTTCATATCTTCTTCATCCAGACTCCAAATCAAGTGATTCTTGAGTCTAGATTTATTAATATTTCCTTGTCTATCTAATGGTATGCTTAGTTGCATCTAGTTTTATCTGAAAAGACCATTTTATCCTTGGTCAAGTACCCTTTCCATTCTATAATCTTAGCTTCTGCATTTGATTCTTTTGAGTTCCGTGACTTCATGGAAGATCACCTTGGCATGTTAGGGATGTTTTATATCCCTAGAGAGCTTGTTTCTATTTTCGCTTCCGTATTTGGGATCGGGTTAAACTTCAGTTTATCACAAGACGCATTGGCTTAAAAAACTAGGGCCGTCACAGGTGGTATTAAAGCTCCTAGGTTCAAAAACCTATGGACAATGGATTTTGGGTGCATATCATGCTTATGTTACCATGCTCTATGTGTTTATATACTTCATGATAACATGTTTCAGTCTGATAACATGTTTATGTGCATATGTACTATATGTGGTATGCCGTTTGTTTAGCATGATTTTATTTTAATGTAAAGAGCATGACATATGATGTATGCTAGTTTAGATTTGTATATGCATGATTGTTTTACATTTTTGACAGGACTTGGGATTAGTCATAGGACGCTGGAATCGAGGTTAAGTC